TAGAACCTCTAGAACCAGTAGAACCTTTGAACCAGTAGAACCTCTAGAACCAGTAGAACCTTTGAACCAGTAGAACCTCTAGAACCAGTAGAACCAGTAAAAACTCTAGAACCAGTAGAACCTTTAGAACCAGTAAAAACTCTAGAAACAGTAGAACCTCTAAAACCAGTAGAACCAGTAGAAACTCTAGAACCAGTAGAACCTTAAGAACCAGTAGAACCTTAAGAACCAGTATAACCTTAAGAACCAATAGAACCTCTCGAACCAGTAGAACCTTAAGAACCAGTATAACCTTAAGAACCAATAGAACCTCTCGAACCAGTAGAACCTTTAGAACCAGTAAAAACTCTAGAACTAGTAGAACCTCTCGAACCAGTAGAACCTTTAGAACCAGTAAAAACTCTAGAACCAGTAGTAACTCTAGATCCAGTAGAACCTTTAGAACCAGTAAAAACTCTAGAACCAGTAGAACCTCTAGAACCAGTAGTAACTCTAGATCCAGTAGAACCTTTAGAACTAGTAAAAACTCTAGAAACAGTGTAACCTTTAGAACCAGTAGAACCTCTAGAAACAGTGTAACCTTTAGAACCAGTAGAACCTCTCGAACCAGTAGAACCTTTAGAACCAGTAAAAACTCTAGAACTCGTAGTAACTCTAGAACCAGTAGAACCTCTAGAACCTTTAGAACCAGTAGCTTCCTGCTGTGAACCAGCGTTGGTTCCGGAGGTCGTTGCTGTGTCCTGTTCCCTAAGCGAAGCGGGTCAGAGATCTTGGGGTTCTGCTGGGTCCGGTCAATGTTCTGAATCCTGGTTCTTGTCCTTCAGAATCCAGGAGCTGTTCATGGAGCTGCTGTCCAACAGCCGCCAGCTGCGCTGGTTGTCCTGCAGCTTCATGCTGGGTCTGCTGACGCCGCGCTCCTTAGCCCGCCTGTCCAACCAGTCCGCCGAGACGCTGCAGCACCTCAGTTTCCTGGACCACCAGCAGGGTGAGTGCGCCTCCTGCTGTGATGGATGAGGAGCAGCCGAGGCAGATTGTCTAAGCATCCAGCCTTCCTCCTCTCCTCTTCCTCAGGGCCCCTCGTCTCGCCGTCGGAGCTCGATCGGCTCTCCAACCTTCACTCCCTGGCTCTGGATTTTCCCGACTTCTCGTCCGAGCTCTGCGCTCTGCTGGCGTCTCCACGCAGAGCTCCCCTCCACCGCCTCTCCCTGCTGCTCAACGGCGCCGCCCTGGAGTTTAAATCGTTAGAAAGCACAGCAAGAGAGGACGACTGGAAGGCGCTGGTAACTAGACCTGTTTTCAGCCGTCTGTCTGTGAGCCCAAAGTCGTTCTAATAGACTCCACCCCCCTGCAGGTACGGGTCAGCGCTAACCTGCGGGTGTACGTCATGGCCCTGGAGGTGGACAGCTCAGAGCTCCTCAGGGTCCTGAAGCCCAGCCTGCCTCTAGAGCGCCTCCACCTGGACAGCTACAGCACGCTGGTGACCGATGGCACGCTGGAGCTCGTCTCCCAGCAGTACAACAAAACCCTCACCCACTTCCTGCTGCTGAGGGACGGCCCTGGCTTCCCCGACCTCAGCGTCAACCGCAACGAAGACCCGCTGGTCCTGCTGGCCTGGAGGTGCACCCAGCTGGCTGTGCTGGTGATACACGGTGAGCTGATGTGAGGGTGAATGGATGAAGGTCAGAGTGAATGTGAGGCCGCCACCTACGAGGAGAAGCGAGCAGTTAAGCTAAGCTATTGTCCCATGGCGGCACATCACCTGTGATGTTTAATTAATAAACACCTCAAGCTTTTAACAAGCTAAACATGAACAAAGTAAAGAAAAAAGATCATTTGTTGCCTTCATAGAGTGTTTCTCTCTGCGCTCATCAGCCCCCGGCAGCAGCTCTGCTCATACTCAACTTATTTTAGGATATTTTTCGGTTTTTGGGGGAATCCAAAGTTTCTGCTGAAAGCGGTGGACCGCCACAGCAAAATAAAAGCTTCTCCTTCACAATAAAACAACACGGTCAACCAACGGCTACGTTCACGCAGAACCCGATACGAATCTGATCTTTTCAAATGTGTCTGAACGGCCAGGTCGCATTCATCCGACCCGAACGCCATTAGTAACCGAAAAAGAAAGACGACCATCATGGCGGATGATGATGATACAGAGAGCAGTCTTTTTTTTTATTTGATTAATTATTTAAACGCCAAATAAAAAAGCCTCATTAAACGTCTTGTTGAATACCTCATTGAATGCCACGTGTTTCACATGCGTACCGTCGGATAAAACTTTGAGACCTTCTTAAAATATTTATTTATGGCTCTTTAAAGACCTGATTAAAATCCCTCATCAAACATTTCTTTGAATGCGTCATTAACTGTCAAATACATCTCATAAGGTTGTTTATAAAATACCTCATTGAATGCCTCATATAATGCCTTTAGCCGGGCGTACGCTGCGCAATTTTTATTTTTTTTTTGTTGCCCTTTTCGGGGCAATTTTTCAGTCGTGCGAGAATTTTTCAATTCAGCCGACTTCCAGCCTGATGGTGAGTGGTGTAGTGTACAGGGGGTAACGAGGGGCGATCAGCGTCTAACGACCACCTCCCCATCAGGAATCATAAGTGAGAAAATCAAACATGTTAGAAATTCAGTCGGGAGTCGTAAGGTGGTCGTGGGCAAATCGCTCAGTGGGCAAACAAGGATTCTTCTTCTTCTTCTTTTTACTCTCAGAGGAAAACACAGCAGCATGGCGGGTTGCAAAGAGTGAAATGGAGTTAAATTGACAGACCGTAGTAGCCAAGCGCTTTCAGCACAAAATTGCTCAAATAGCCATGGCTGCGCGTTTCACTGTAGTGAGCTTCATATTCCTCTTCTACTCGTTTGACTTCTAGATAGACGAGTCCAAGTAGCGCCATCTCACTGTGGTGCTGAGTCCCACCTGGGTTTTAGACGTACAGTGTGAGCAGGTAGATCGCATCAGAGCGTCGGATCGCACATGCATAGTGAGCTGTGAACTCACACTGTACGACGAAACCGCAGGGTTTCGTCGTACAGTGCGAGCTGTGAGCTGTAGCTGCGTGCAAAGATTGAAAAAAATCGCACCGATTATGCCCGGCTTTATCGATGCCTCATTGAATACTTCTTTAACGTCGTCGTTCAGTTCCTCAGACGGCTCACTAAAGGCCTCAGGTTGTGCCGCGCTTCACTTTTTTAGTCGGTAAAACAGTTTTTTAGAGCGTTGTGTACTTTGGCTGACCTTTCTGTGTGGGTGGAGCCATGACAGATGGCGTGACACCAGTTAGTCCTTCTTTTCTTGCAGACTTTAAGACACATCTTGTCCATAACCCTCATCAGGTAAGCTTACAGATTTTCCAAAGCTTTCATTGATTCTTTCCATCAAGTCAGACTGTCTATTTAGAATGTCCTCTGGAAAACATGGCGATGCTGGGAAGCGGCTAAACATCTGTAGTGTTCAGAACGGCGGCGTGTTTCTGTGTGTCTGGTCTCTGGCGAAGGAACCCCAGAAGTTGTGACGTCTCTCATCTCTGCAGGTTACACCGTCTGGTCCCACAACCTGGTGGCCATCTCCAGGCTCCGTGGCTCCTGTCTCCGCGTCCTCACCGTGTCCGAAGAGAGCATCGACTTCGACCCGGACCAGTCGCTGTACACGGAGGGTGACCCGGTCCATAACCTGGTGAAGGAGGTGTCTCTGGGCCTCGGCCGCGTCTGGCACCCGTGCCTGGACTCCAGCACGGTTCTGTCCGAACCCACCCAGCATTTCCACCGCGAGCTGCGCGCCTTCAGCGCCGGCATGTAGACTGTGTGTGTGTGTGTGTCGGGGGAGGCGGGTGCATAGACCAGACCAGGTGGACCGACGGCGTACAGGCAGAGCCGAGCCGGACCGGACATCACCTACTGGATCGGTTTGATTTGAGGTTTTAAAGTTCAGCACAAAGTCATGAAACCAGATCAGTCTGCAAAGATGGTCCAGTCCGGTCCAGCCTGGTCTGGTCTGGACACAGTTTGGTCTGCACTCGTTTCCATCACCCTAATGACCTACAGAGCCTCTCTGAGACTCTGAATCCCCCCCACTCCAATGTGTTTTATCTCATAACCCCCCCCCCAAAAAAAAAAAAGTGTTTGAATGCAGATTTCTGCTCACAGACCAACAGGAACCAACAGGAACCGGCCCGTAGAGCTTTGTTTGGCAGCAGGGGGCGATCTGATTGGCTGTTTGTTCATTTACTGTTTTTTAAGGTCAAAGGTCATTATTCGGGGTTTCTGAGCTGCTGATGGAGAGTTTGTTACACTTCCCACCCTGTTCACCTGCTGCTGACCTCAGAGCCAAACTGGTTCTGGTTCTTCCAGCGCCGCCTCTGATCTGAATTTAGCCGATGACCCGAAAGGCCCAGAGGCCTGGAAGAGAAGCTGCAGCTTCCATCTGTTTCCTTGGTGCCATATGAAGCGGTTCTTACCCTTCCTTCCTGATCAGACCCTGACGGTTCTGGTCAGATCATCACTCTGACCGATGTGCAGAACAATCAGTTACCTTTTTCTCTTTTGACACGGTTGCCTTAGAAATGGCTCCATCCTCCCCGGTTTGAACGGTTCTGGATGCCGCCATCAAACCGGGCCCTCGCACCCGCCAAGCGGACCTGATCATACATTTGTTTTCAACGATTAAGGTCGAGGGAGGATGGAGAGTCTGGAGGTCCATGTTTCTTCCCTTCCAGCACTTTACTGGGTCCCAGTAAGCGGGCGTTGTCGTAACCTGGTTCATCTGCTCCCTCCTGGGTCCGTATCAGTAGAGGAACCTCACTCTGGTACCACTGGGTTCTGGTTCCTTTTTTTTTTTTAACCTCCTTGTGAGTTTTCTCTGACTGGAAGGCTGATCAGTCTGGTTCTGAGGACCGAACGGAGCCGATACTTGAATAAAGACCGCCTCGTGGTCCAATCAGACCTGAATAGTCGATGGTTCTGGAGTCCAAAGCTTGGTTCTGTGGGTCTGATTTTAGTTGCTGGTTGATGAATGTTCTGATGAATCCGGTAGAAGCGGGTTTGTTCTGGATGCGGTTCTAACTGCCAAAGACCAAAGTGGAGCAAAGTTCAGAAGTGGACCGATGTAGCCTCCTGGTGGCGCTCCTGGGGGACCATCCAGAACCGTTCAAACCAAAGCAGAGCTGCTGGCTACCAGAACTTTAGCTCGGCTCGGTCCTTTACCTCTGACTGGTACTCAGGGTCCATGATTAGCTGATGTCACGCAGACGTCAGAGATCCAGCGGAGGTTCTAGGAGTTCTGCTTGTGCCGTCCCTCTGGGGGCCGACGGCTGGTCCGGGTCTCCCCGGTTTGGAGTTAATTTGAAGCTGTAAACATTTTCTGCTGCTAGAAGAAGAACATTCCAGGAGGGGGAGGAGCTTCTCTGAACAGATATTCTGTTTGTCGGTGCAGCGCTTCTGCCTCTTCTGTCTCCGGACCTTCAGTTCAAGCAGACCGGTTCTGGTTGGTCCGGTTTGATTCTGGGTGCGCTGCCGTCGGATGAGGAAGTGAATCCACAGAGCTGGCCTCTAGCTCCCTCCCTCATTGGTCGACCCGTCGGACCAGACGCTGTCCGGTTAGCTTTGCGCCAAAGCAGCCAACTTACCGCGTCGCTCTGGGTCTGACTTCCTGTTAACTTATGATGAAGTGACGCCTGCTGCTCTGTTGACGGGTTCTTAACGACGTCGCTGCTGAACGGCAGAGGAACCGTCGGACGTCGGTGCCGAGAGGTTCAGATCTGCTCCGAAGCCTGCAGGGACCCAAATGTCCCGATTAGCCAGGCAGGCAGGCGGGCCTGCCATCCAACCAGAACCGCCTCACAACTATGCAAGAGGAGCGCGGATGATCCAAACTCCACCTGGTCTTTGGATTCTGTTTCTCATCCTCTGACAGACGGTAGATGTGAACTAATGAGACACTGCAGTGACGATACCTGGCCTTATGATGATGATGATGATGGTTTGTAATCATTTTAGTCTGAAGATCTCCTGAATCCGGTCGGCCAACCCGGCGGCGGCGGCGGGTCACTCTTGGTCTCTGTGAGACCGGCTAGGCGGCCCGGTTTTATCGTGGTACGAATGTTGTGCATTTGTTTCAAATCAGGACAGTTTGCAATAACAGCAGTTTAAACAGTGGCCACAAGGGGGCACAAGCAGTGCTGACGGCGCCCGGCTACGTCTTTAGAAAACCATAGCGGAAGAGAGATCTATATACAGAGAAGTCAATCTATATATGTGTACCTGCTCGGCGTGTTTGTGACGTGTCGCCCTCGCTTCGGTTCTTCAACAGGAAGTTTATCCTAAAGCCACACAGACGCCATGTTGTCATGTTTTCTTTTTATTTTGCAGAGATGGTTTTAAGTTGTTGTTGCTGAAAACTCGTGTTCCTGTGAGACTGTTTGGTGATGTAATAGCGCCCCCTAAACGGAGGGGGGCAGATCTGCAGGAGAGGGATTGGACTTTTATTGAGAATGTTGATGGGTGTTCCTGTTGGAGCGATAAGAGGGAAACCTGCAGAACCGATGCTGAATGGATGCTTCTCTTCTTTTAGTCTGTGAATAAAAACATTAAAAAGCTGCTTTGTTCTCGTTTTTTTTTTTTTTTACATCAAAGCTGCTCTTAAAGAGGGAAACAGAAAGTACCAGCGCTTTCCTTAGAGCTGCAGAAACAGATCCTTTTATAAAGGAGGCAGGGAAAGCAGAATAAAGCCTTAGCCTCGCTGCATGCAGTTAGCCGAGCCTTGTTGCTAAATAATTCTATAAACCTGTCAATCAGCCGCACTTTCTAACAGACTGTGACATTAGCGCTGTGGATGGGAGGAGGTCTGAAAATAAAGCTGCTTTCAGCTCTGGGAGCAGGAGAGCTGCTCCTCAGGATGCTCCTATCTTTAGCATTGAAGAGGAGCTGCTGAGCTAGAAAACTTTAACCAGAGTCTATGGCGAAGATTTATGGAAATACGTCACAGATACAACAACGGATGAAACAGATTAAAAATTTATCTTGCACATCTAAAATATATATAAATATATTTGGATATATTTTTATATATTTTACATATACATACATTTTATACTTTAATTACTTTTTTACTGAAATAGTCTGACAGACACAGATGCCAGATTATTTTTGTAAAAACAACAGATATTTGTTTTACAGTGCAGTGAATTCATCTGCTTCTGTCTCCTTGAACCCCAGTGGGCCTCAGCAGATGGCCGCTGAGACTGAGCTTGGTTCAGCTGGAGGTTTGTTCCTGTTCAAAGGGAGTTTTTCCTCTCCACTGTCGCTACAAGCATGCTTAGTGTGAGGGATTGCTGAAAAGTCAATGAGTCGATGCAATCAGCTGGTTTTCCTTAGATAGAAAACTTTGAATCAATCTGACTGGATGATCTGGTTGAACTGGAAAGTGACCTGAGATGACATGATGTGAATTAGAGCTATAGAAATAAACTGAATAGAACTGAATTCGGTATTTTAAAGTTTCTTGATGCCTCCTGAAAACTGGTTGTGCACCCCCTGGATCAAGGTAAAGTAAGAGCCACTATTGCTGATAATACAGTGAAATAAAACCAGGCTCCTCGCTGTCGGCCCCCAGACTCGCCTCAGTGCTCTGGCTGCTGTAGCTACTTTGAATGCTCATCAAGTTCAAGGCCTCCAAAAAAAATGGCCCTCTGTCTGTCTGCATGCAGAACAGCACCACCCAGGATTTACAATGGATGCATTCAAATCAGCAAACCTGCAGAACAGGACTGTTTTACATGGAGAACAGAAATATGGAGTTAAAATAAGCTTCAGCTGAATATCAGCCTCCATCTAAATGAACCTATAGACCCGGCAAAGTGGGTCCTGGAGGGCCGCTGTCCTGCAGGTTTTAGAAGTTTCTCTGCTCCAGCACAGATTATCATAATTTATAGTTGATTTATTAACAGGCTTTTGCTGAATTGCAAACATCAGAATAATCTGTGCTAAAGCTGAGAAACCTCTTAAACCTGCAGGACAGCGGCCCTCCAGGACCAGCTTTAGGGAGGCCTGCTTTACAGCAGGAACCTTCTAGCCTGCAGGTTGTTGTAGGTCTGCTAATAACCAGCAGGTGGCAGCAGAGCTCCATGCTGTCACACAGCTGAAGATTTAGGAGCTCCTCAAACAAAATCAACTTTTTTCACTTTTAATGATCCTGTTCATTTCTGCAGAGACCAGAACAAGTTTATTTCTGTAACACTTCAGGAGAGACGATACAAAAAGCTGAATGTGGAAAGAAAACTCAGAGAAGATTAGAAAATAATCATAAAACATGATGGTGAAATGATTGATAATGAAAGGAAAGTTAGACTCGATCTATTCTGGGTCCATAGATCAGTCTAACCAGAGAACTGAGCCAGAAAAGAAAAGTTAACATTTTGCTCTCAGTTTGGTTTGATTCTCACATTTTATAAGTTCATCTAATTCCAACAAATAAAACCAGAGGCGTCAACTAGCAAAGTACAAATAGTCAGTAGAAATGTTGGCTATCTATACTTTACTGGAGTAATTAGTTTTTATTTTTTTGGTTTCTCCGTGAATTTTAAAAATAATCTTGTTAGTTTTATTTCATTTCAGCTTATTTTCATTATGGCCTGTTGGTATTTAAGAAAAATTTTTAAAAAACCATCAAAATAATTAGTTTCATCCAAACAATTAATTTCTTTGTGGTTGGACTCGGTGCTGCCCCAACCTGCTGCTCAACACAAACCAAAATAAATAGTTTTTCAAGATGCTGCAAAGTTGAATGTTTCAATTTGCATTTTATCAAAACAAACACAAGGCTTTGTTTAAAATTATTGTTTTTTTTTACTGATTAAAGCTAAATTTATTAAATCAATGCGACCTATAAGTTTTAGGTATAAATAATGATCCATTTGTTATTCCTGGCTGACCGGACTTTGCTTTTGAGGAACCTTCGGCTCAGACGGTAACAATCAAAACTTCTTTTATTGATAAAGGAGCGACCTGGAAACGTTCTAATGAATCTCAATCACCTATAAACACGCCTCCCACCCAGGTTGCCGTTAGTAACAGAGCTGCATCCAGCTCCATGTCATTCTGCACCTCAGAGAGCTTTTCCAACACCTTCAGGGATTCAGACCGATGACTTCATTGCACAAACCGACGATCCAAACATCTTCCAACTGCAGTTTCTGCTGCAGAAGGAGCTCGGCGACAACGCAGCAGAAAGTGGACCGCACTGACAAATGCTGCAAGGGAGTCCATCTGTGTTAAGTGCATTACCTGCCAGAAGTCATTTGCTAAATTGCTTTAAGCACTCAGTGAAGCAAAGCATTGCTGAAATGATACGATTGAGAATTCATGGGGGAATTGACTTCCCAGAAGCTCAGAGACGTGTTAAGTGGACAGGAGGTGTTGGTGGCGGGATGCTTCCCCTCAGCTGTGGTCTGTCTGAGGACAACGGATGGGAGACAGGATCCTACTGATGGGGATGTGTTGCATCACAGCTGAAGGTGTGTCTTCCTGATCACATTTACTCCATAAACCATCAAATTTAATCACATCAAGCCTAAAAAGTCCATCTGAGGGGTTCTGGGTTCTGTTATGCAGAGGAATAAGCCTCAACTGGACGTTTAAGGCCTTAAACCAGCAGCAGAGGAGGAAGACTACAGGAAGCACAGCGTTGGCTCAGTGGTGATCTGGGAGGCTTGTTTCCTCTGAATATGGAAAGATTATAAAATAATCAGGCTAATTATGCTGATTAAGAAGAAGATGAATCCAAACAAAAACAAGGCTTTGGCTCACTGCAAAAACCATCTAAAAATGAGTAAAAATGTCTTTAATTAAGGGTATTTACCCTTAATTTGAGCAGATAAAGAAGATAATCTGCCAATGGAATGAGCATTTTTACTCTTAAAATACCGGTAAGTATAAAATTAGATAACTAGATATTATGCACTTGAAATAAGAGACTGTAGTTGTTGTTTTTTTCTCACTTTAAATGTAACTTGCCTTATTTCACTTGCCAAATGTATCACCTGCTTAATTCAAGAACAAATGCCCTTTTGCAAGGCTGTTGTATAAAACCTGGACCTCAACGCTATTTCTGACATTTTGAATTAAAAAAGCTTGGATGGAAGAGAAACGTCTTCAAACTTGGAAACAAAGTCCAGCAAAGTACATTTAAAAAAATAATCAGGTTTTTGAAAACAGCCCTAAAAAGACACTCCTCTGCAAATCCCTTCATTTCTACACATACGGCGACTGCTGTCCATGTGCGAAGCACGGTGTTGCCAACTCCTCAGCTAGAAAACTCATTATTGGCTGTCCTAAAAGGCACTAGATGACATCATTGCCTAATTTGCATACCTCCTGTCATCGGGCTGCAGGAGATTCAGAAGATTCAGAGATTTTTTTTGGCTGTCAAAGAAGCGCAGAGAGATAGAATAGCAGGGAAGAAGAAATGTGGGGACTAAAAACAACAAAAAAAAGCAAGTAAAGAAAAATACATATAATTCAGCTATTTAGATCCACATTCCATAGGAATTGGTGATATAAATACACCACTAGATGTAAAGGAAAAACACAAAGAAGAAAGCAGTAGCAGTGCATCGACACACGGAGACCGCAGGAGCAGAAGGGAAGAGAATCAGGATGTAGAATGAAGATGCTGTTATTTTATGAGACAAATGTGTCATTTATAAATTATTTTCATGATTCAAGTCAGTAATCTAGGGTGGGATTAGCAGTAGCTTTGCACATCTGAATTCAAAGTTACTCTCACTGCGGCAGCTCAGGCAGCCTGCCCTGCATGTTGAGAGAGAGAGAGGCTTATGATCGTCTTGCTCAGGAGGACAGAGTTTGGTGCTTTTATGTCACCAAAGTCTCCTTGAACACAGAAAAACAGTCACTAGATTTGGCGCTAGAGAGAGCGAGAGAGAAATGCAAGAACCGTCCTTTTCCAGGAGCTGGTTTAGCTCCAAGGCTAGGCTGACTGCCTGCAGTGAGGCTAACTGCCTGCAGTGAGGCTAACTGCCTTTAGCAAGGCTAACTGCATAGAGCAAGGCTGACTGCCTTTAGCAAAGCTAACTGCCTTTAGCAAGGCTAACTGCCTGCAGTGAGGCTAACTGCCTGCAGTAAGGCTAACTGCCTGCAGTGAGGCTAACTGCCTTTAGCAAGGCTAACTGCCTTTAGCAAGGCTAACTGCCTGCGGTGAGGCTAACTGCCTGCGGTGAGGCTAACTGCATGCAGCGAGGCTAATTGCATGCAGCGAGGCTAACTGCATGCAGCGAGGCTGACTGCCTGCAGCGAGGCTAACTGAATGCAGCGAGGCTAACTGAATGCAGCGAGGCTAACTGCGTGCAGCAATGCTGATTGCATGCGGCGAGGCTAACTGCATGCAGCGAGGCTAACTGCATGCAGCAAAGCTTACTCCATGCAGTGAGGCTAAGGCTTTATCCTGCTTCCCTGCCTCCCTTTTCAAAGGTCAGGATCTGATCCAGCATGGATAAAGACAGCTAGGACTGATTTAAAGCACTTTATAGAAAAGGCAAAGAAGAATGAACAATCTGGGATTCACATGGAAAATATTAGAAAATAT